AAAGTTCCTCCAATTCCATTACGGAGACTTCGAAGACCTTCGTGGGCCTGCTTCATGAGGAAATTCTTTGATGTTTCAGGAGGAATCAACTTTCATCCAATTGGTGAATCCCACACTAAATAATAATAATAATCCTTGCATTTGATATCGCGCTTTATCATATCTTCAAGACATCTCAAAGCACTTCACAGAATACACTGTAAAGTGAGTTCACTATTTGTGGACGAAACTCGCCAGTCAATTACGCACAGCAGTATCCTACAAACAAATGAAGTGACCAAATTATTATTAAAATTTTTTTAAAGGAATTTGTATCCCTGGCGATCTGCCAATTGACTAACAATGGGTTCCTACTTAATGCTAGGTAAACAGAGGCTTTTGAAGTAAGGAAACTTGCCCAACGTTTTGAGTTGCGGGGAATCGAACCCAGGTCCTCTCACTTGCGAGGCGAATGCTCTAACCATTAAGTTACAGAACTCCATATAGTCTTCTTCTCGGAGTATTTTATTGTGAGCCCATGGCTCCCTTTGGAGATCTGCTGTGTAGACTGCTGCCAGAAGGCTTCTAGTAGATTAAGAATGTGAAGAACATAATGTTCCTATCTTCATCCGTCGTCATCCTTGGATTTGTCACTACGAACACCATCTTATCCAAGAAGGAAGTCTCAATTTTAAGAGCACCTTGCTTGGCAAATTCATCGAGTTGCCTTGTTGAAATATGTCGCCCACAAATATACAGTCAATTCACTTTACAGTGTGTTCTGTGAAGCGCTTTGGGACGTCCTCCTGACGTGAAAAGCGCATATCAAATGCAAGGATTATTATTATTATTATTAAGTCTGATGATCATTTGTATGCTTAACTGTAATGTTCACATTTTCCTGTAATTTTAATGCTATGCGTTTCCATAATGCTTGATAGCGTTTGGCACAGTAATTGGTAGAATTATTTTGTCGACAATACGGTAGAGATTCATTTATTGCTATTGCACAATAAGAGGAGGTTGGATCATGAGGGTACTTTTTTCTGGTCTGCTAAGGTCTATGACGACTGCTATGGCTTCTGTCTTAGCGTTTTGGGCAGATTGGCCAAATCTTAGCTACATAATCTAGTTCTTTATAAATTCCTTCTTGGCAGTATTTACCCACTGTTACTCCAATTATTGCACTTTTTGAGCCCTCACTGTATGACAGGATCCATCACAGAATATGACTTTTTCTAATTCCCAAGGTGGTCAGTCATTGGGAGTCTTACAAACCTCTTCATTCATGTCAAACATGGGAAAGTCAAGGTCAAATTGTTCTGTCTTAGGTATTGTCTGAAAAGTCAATGTGTCATCTGCTGGTAACGTCTGTCAAGTAAGCCATCGCTTGCTGAGTGCCTTTGCATTGGGAACATTGGCTTTTGTTACTGCTTCCATCTGTGTGATATAATATATAGTCATAGACAGTAACACATAGTTTTTTTATAAAATATACAGTTTTAGCCAGTAACACACAGTATTATTATATAATATACAGGCATAGCTTGAACACAGTGTGTTATTATATAATATGGAGTTCTGTAGCTTAGTGGTTAGAGCATGTGCATCACAAGCAAGAGAACCTGGTTTCGATTCCCTGGCAGGGTGAAACGTTGGACAAGTTTCCTTACTCCACACGCCTCTGTTTGCCTAGCAGTAGGTAGGAACCTGGCTGTTAGTCGATTGACGGATCGCTTTTCCAGGCATAATAATAACTTCAAGAAAATAAATAAATAATAATTTGGTCACTCAATCCGTGACTGATTGTGGGACACTGCTGTGCGCAATTGGCTGCTGTGTTTCGCCCACAAAATATAGTCAATTCACTTTACAGTATATTCTGTGAAGCGCTTTCAGACGTCTAGAAGACATGATAAGTGCCTTATCAAATGCAAGGATTATTATAATAATATACAATTATAACCAGTAACACACAGTGTGTTATTATATAATATACAGTTATAGCCAATTATTGTATAATATACTATATATAGCCAGTAGCACATGGTATGGTTTCCAGATCCAAAGTCCATGTAAGGATCGACAGTGGAGTTACTAGTCCAATCCCACTGGAAAAGGGGACAAGCAAGGCTGCCCATTGTCACCCACCTTGTTCGATGTATTCATCAATGACATGTTGGATGCCATCGAGGGGGAAGGACTTGGTGTATCTGTTCCAGGCCTCTCTGACAGGATTATGGTGCTTCTATTTGCGGATGATATTGTGCTGTTGATATTCTGAGCTGCACCCACATTTGGAGTATTGTGTCCAATTCTGGTCTCCACACTATAGGGATAGAGCACTGACAGAAAGAGTAGATAGTAGATTTATGAGGATGATACCAGGGCAGCAGGTTACTACTATCAGTCCCTAACCAGGGAACACAAATATAAAATAGTGAAGGGATCTAAAAGACAATTCAGGAGCAACTACTTCACACAGAAGGTAACAAGATTGTGGAACTCACAGCCTGAAGTGGTGATTGAATCAGATTGTGTAGATACATTCCAGAGGAAGCTAGACCTTCACATGAGGTAGAGGGGAATAGAAAGTGTGGGAGGGAGTGAGGAACACGTGGAGACTTGTGTGGAGTATAAACACCGGCACGGGCTGGTTGGGCCAAATGGCCTGTTTCAGTGCTGTACAATCTTAGTAATCTTTATAAACTGTGTAATCTTGCCCGTGCTCTCTCCCTCTCTGCCCGCACCGTACTCTAACTTTTCAGCCCTGGTGTTGCTGGCTGGCACACAGTGACTGAGAATGTCTTGTCCATCCCTGCAGCACTCCTGCCCCCATCAGTCAGGCTGTCGCAGCTGCTGAGATGTGACCCATTATCTGTGAGCCCATCACTGAGTGCCGTAGGCGGGCCCAGTGCGAGAGTGATTAGTGAGGTGAACTTTCCTCACGGCTCGGCTCTTTACAGGACAGTCTGTCTGCCTGGACAGCCACTTGGGTGCTCTAAACAAACTGAATACATCTATTAGTCATTCAGTACAACACCATAGAGCAAACAGCTGAGTATACACAGCCTCTGCTATGTGAAACACTGCCCGGGGAACGGCAGATGTACAGACAGGCAGCCCGACAGACAGTTAGCATAGTCCAGTCTGGAGGTGATGAGAGTGAACCCACATAGGTCTCTGCTGCTCCAATGTTACGACCAGTGCTTTTCTCCATTTATATAAATGATCTGGTTCAGGTATATTTCGAAGTGTACAGAACCCACAAAAATAGGGAGCGTAGCTAACAGTGAAGAAGATTGTAAGCAACTTGTGGAGCTTGTGTGCAACTGGCTGCAGCGTTTCACCCACAAAATATACCGTCAATCCACTTTACAATATATCATGTGAATTGCTTTGAGATGCCTCAATGACGTGATAAAGCACTATATCAACCTTAGGCAATAACTCGCTTGTTAGTCGATTGCCGGATTTCTTTCTGGGGGTAATAATCCTTCCAAAAAAAAAATGATTTGGTCACTCAAGCCATGACTGTTTGTGGGACACTGCTGTTCGCAATTGACTTCCGTGTTTTGCCCACAAAATATAGTTAATTAACTTCACAGTATATTCTGTGAAGCGCTTTGAGACGTCTTAACAACATGATAAGGTGCTATGTCAAATGCAAGGATTATTATTATTCTGTTGCAGTGAGTGTGTGTACCTGAGCAGTGAGTGTGTGTACCTGAACAGTGAATGTGTGTATGTAAACAATGAATGTGTGTATGTGAGCAGTGAGTGTGTGTACCTGAATGGTGAGTGTGTGTTCCTGAGCAGTGAGTGTGTGTTCCTGAGCAGTGAGTGTGTGTTCCTGAGCAGTGAGTGTGTGTACCTGAACAGTGAGTGTGTGAACCTGAACAGTGAGTGTGTGAACCTGAACAGTGAGTGTGTGTACCTGAGCAATGAGTGTGTGTACCTGAATGGTGAGTGTGGGCACCTGAACAGTGAGTATGTATACCTTACCTGACAGTGTGTGTACCTGAACGGTGATTGCGTATACCTAAACTGTGAGTGTGTGTACCTGAACAGTGAGTGTGTGTACCTGAACAGTGAATGTGTGTACATAAACAATGAATGTGTGTACGTGAGCAGTGAGTGTGTATACCTGATTGGTGAGTGTGTGTTCCTGAGCAGTGAGTGCATGTACCTGAGCAGCCAGTGTGTGTACGTGAGCAGTGAGTGTGTGTGCCTGAATGGTAATTGTGGGTACCTGAACAGTGAGTGCGTATACCTTAGCAGACTGTGTGTACCTGAGCAGTGAGTGTACGTACCTGAACAGTGTTTGTGTGTACTTAAACTGTACCTGAGCAGTGAGTGTGTACCTGAATGGTGAGTATGTTTACCTGAACAGTAATTGCGTGTACCTGAGCAGACAGTATGTGTACCTGAACAGTGAATGTGTGTACGTGAGCAGTGAGTATGTGAACCTGAGCAGTGCGTGTGGTGCCTGAGGATTGCTCAGTCTTCGTGGTGTAGTGGAGTTGTTTTGCTGAGGATCGGTGATTACACGGTGATCGTGCCTTGTGGGGTGTGGAGGACTAGAGGAGTGGGTAACTTGGGGAGTGTCTGACACGGTACCCCGTTGTGTCTGTGAGAATGGATTGTGGAGAGAGAGGTTCACTGAGCAGAGGTCAGTGTGAGAGTGAGATGTGCCAGCGCTCACTCACTCCCACGTTAATATTCTGTGCGCTGAGCCACGCTGACAGTACATTATCACTTATTGCTATTTCTCACTGACCTTTTCTTTTACCACTAGGCTCACAGTTAGTTAACTCCACAGTCAATAAACGGCGAGAGCGGGCAGGTCATGTGTACAGGAATCTGTTACTCTATCCCGGTCACTGTGTCCCGGTCACTGTGTCCCAGTCACTGGGAGCCGGTCACTCTGTCTCGGTCATTTGGTGGCTGTCGGTCTCTGTCTGTTACTCGCTATGATGTGAGGCTCTGATCTCTATCTCTCTCTCTTTCTTCTGTCACAGCCACCACCACCTACACCACCCAGCGCTCCGAGCACTACAAGCCGTGCAGAGACAAGGACCTCTCGTACTGTCTGAATGACGGCGAGTGCTTCATGATCGAGACCCTGGCCGGCAATAACAAGCACTGCCGGTGAGTGAGGGTGGGGTGGGGCTGCTGGGCCGTAAGGTGGGGGGGGGTCTCTCAGAATGTCATGTCATGTCATGATAGACAGGGCTGAGGCAGGAGGAGAGGACTTGATGAGCTGGTGTGCAATAGACCTGTGTCTCTCAGACTGGAGAGGACAAGGTCATCAATGGCTGGCAGTGAGACACACACACACTACACTACCACGTGTCCTCTTACAATATATAATCAGTCACAAATTCTCCTTCAGAGGCTGTGAGATGTGCTCCAGCCCTGTATTGTGTGTGTGAGAGTGACCAGTGATGACAATTGAGTGTGAGTGACAATGAGTGTTGAGTGAGAAAGTGCAAGATTATCTGACATTGAGTGTGAGAGTGCAAAGGTGACAGTGTGACAATGATTGTAACTAAGTGTGTGTGAGTGTGAATGACACTGGGAGAGTGTGAGTGTGACAATAAGCAAGAGGTACTGGTAGTGTGGAGACTGAAGTATTTCTCCTCCCGCATCTCACATGTTACTTTGACATGAGTCTCGTGAGCACGGAATCTCTGAAAGTGTTTGAAGGCACTTGTCCTGAGGGAGAGTCTCGAAGTTTTAGTGTCAATTATTGTATTTCTCTATGTATATCACTGGCATTGTACACAGAGGAGTGTTAGTGTATACACAGTGTATGCAGTGCTTCTTGTGGGCAAACGCTATGGGATCTTTAATGTCCACCTGAACAAGCAGACGGAACCTCGGTTTCACATTTCATCCAAAGGCATCTCATCCTATCCCAGTGCTGTGAGGATGGTCAGATTTGGATTGTGGACAGAGGAGATCGGAGGGTGGGAAGAGATCTGAAACTCTCCTGTGACTGTTTCTGATCTCAATAAGATTGAGCCCAGAGCCCACAGGTCAAGATCATGGTCAGGCTCATTGCTAGGGGACAGGTGAGATGTGAAGTGACAGATAGGATGAGAGCAAGGACTGCAGAAGGCCATATTTTATAAGGAAACATTCAAACGTAATGTCATTTGTTACGATGAAAGTGGTAATATTTCCACAAATTACATTCATGAGGCAAAACTCACAGAAGCTGGCATGTTTAATTGCAAAATAGACCTTGTCAGATTAATAAAACCCTAAATTGGAACATAATGAAATTTGGAGAGGATATTAATGATCATATAAGGGATTAATTGTGAATACATTATTCAAATTGTTCACAGCTTCCATCTGCAAACGAGGTTAATTGGAGGATCTACTTCCCCAAAACGTGAGCCAACTAACGAAGAATGCTAATTATAGCTCTTGTCAATATGGAAATGACGTATTTACAAACAATTGCTCTCAGGAACTCAAACACTCAGATCTGGCCGGCCTAATGCACAAAGCCCAGAGGAGCAATCAATTGTTTTTGGGTCTGACACACACCAAAACTCAACACTGTGATCAGCCAAGTGTCTGAGACACACTCAAACTCATCACCATGATCAGCCAGGTCTCTGATACGCACAGAAACCCATCAACCCGATCTGCCAGTGTCTGACACACCTGCCCCCAGTGACTATTCTGCCCTTCCAAGTCCCGACAATGAGTCTGACTGGACTATGCTATCAGCATCCCTAATGACAGTATTCCATTGCCCTGGAGTGCTGCAGACCCGCTCAGGAATCAGACTAGAGATCAGCACAGAGAGTGGAGTCAATTATGTCACTCTACGTAAATTCCCTGACCCATAAACATGGCTACCCCTTCAACCTCGTCATCACCCATGGCCTAAACCAGTCTGAATTCAGAAACCGGGTTCCACAGATCTGAAAGAAAACTAAGATGAATTGAATTTAAGACTGAATTGAAGAAGTTTCCACGTTTCTGTATCCCTTCCCTCCCTCACCTTGATCTAGGTCCATCTCAAGACCTTTGTCTTTGACCACCTCTTTGGTCATCTTTACCCTAACCACCACTGGTCTCCCACCCCCAGTTCGAGAGACCAGTCAGCAATGAGAAGGTCTTTGAGATATCCTCCTGATGTGAAAGGCACTGTATAAATGTAAATGTATTGTATCTTAAATGTTGAGACAAAATAATGGTACAGGCTTTGACCAGGTGGAATTCAAGACTTATAATGTATTAGAAGAGAGTATTAAAGATGTTATATAGATGAACACATCCCTGCTTGTTACACAAAGCACGGCTGTGTCCCAGTCCATCCTGAATGCACGTCCACGAGATCTCCCTGGGCGTGAGGTGGCAGGTGGATTCTGGCACTGTGACTGCAGCTACACACGCCACGAGCCCTGGGAAGTGAAGTGCTGCCACACTGCTTATCCTACTGTGTCACGTTAATCACATGTGAGCTGGTGCTAGCATTCAGAGAGGAAGCAAAACAGTGAGACATTGTGAATCGTATCGTATCTTTATATAGATGGCTGCCTGGAGCCGTGAGCAGCTCAGCACACACACAGACCATCAGTCACCACGCATACTGGCTGAATCCCCAATGCAACACATACGCACCAATCACCTGTCAACCTAGCAGACCCGGCAGGTTGTATAAGGATACAATTCACAATCTCTCACCTGTCCTAGGCCAGCCTGGCTCAGTTCAGTTAACACCTGGGTCACAAGGTTGGAAGTTCAAGTCCCGCATAAGAACTTTGAGCTCACAGTCCAGTGTAGTACAAGGGCGAGTTGCAGAGGTGCTGCCCTTCTGATGAGATGTTAAACCAAGGTCATTCTGTGCCTGTTCGGGTGGATGTCAAAGCTACCACAGCACTATCGGAAAAGAGAATTTCTCTGGTGTCCTGGCAGACATTTGATTATTCACTTGGTTGCTGAGTGTGAATTGGTTACCAGGCCAACAGAAACAACCACTACACACAACAGCATCAGATTCAAGGATTATTAAGTGGGGGAAGAAGTTCTCTTCAGCTCATTGATCTCAGCCTTCCACAGGGAGGCGAAGAGTCCAGAGCGTGTAGGAAGAAGGGTAGAGTAGGGGAGGTGGGGAGTCTTTCATTCTCTCTGGAAGGTGACATATTGGGATGTCCTCACCAATGTACTGACGTCCAGGGATTATTTATTGGTGCTGAATATATATTTGAAATGTGGCAGCTGCTGACCTCCAGGCTTAATATTGTATTAATATTTCATGCTGAATTCCAGTTAATGGACTTTTCTTTATCATGAATGAAATTCAGTGTCTCGACGGTCACTTTTGAAAGGGAGATCAAGTGTCTTTGTTGTGAGTGAGTACACGGCCACAATGCTCCTTCCTGCTTAGAAACTCAACAAACAGAGATATTAACAACTCTATCCACCTTGGGCTCCACCCAGTCTTAACCTTCAAAACCAGTTTGTCTTGTGTGTCAGCCCGGCTCAGTGTGTGGTCAGCCCGGCTCAGTGTGTGTCAGCCCGGCTCAGTGTGTGGTCAGCCCGGCTCAGTGTGTGTCAGCCCGGCTCAGTGTGTGGTCAGCCCGGCTCAGTGTGTGTCAGCCCGGCTCAGTGTGCGGTCAGCCCGGCTCAGTGTGCGGTCAGCCCGGCTCAGTGTGTGTCAGCCCGGCTCAGTGTGCGGTCAGCCCGGCTCAGTGTGCGGTCAGCCCGGCTCAGTGTGCGGTCAGCCCGGCTCAGTGTGCGGTCAGCCCGGCTCAGTGTGCGGTCAGCCCGGCTCAGTGTGTGTCAGCCCGGCTCAGTGTGTGTCAGCCTGGCTCAGTGTGTGTCAGCCCGGCTTAGTCAGGAGCACTTCACCACTCAGTCAGGAGGTTGTGAGTTCAAGCCCCACGTCAGGGACTTTGAGCTCACAGTCGAGGCTGACCCTCCATCACAGCGTTGAGAGGGTGCTACATTGTCAGAGGTTCCGTCCTTTGAATGAGACATTAAACTGAGATATTGTCTGTGCCTATTTAGGTGGATGTTAAAGGCCAACTGCCATTGTTGCAAAAGAGAAGGGAGTCTCTCTCCCGGTGTCCTGGCCAACAATCCCTTCATGGCTATTTGTGTGACATTGCTATAACTGGTTGGTTGTCACAATTGCCCATAAACACGCATCCCACTTCTCAGTAAACCCTGTGAAGCGCTGTGAGACATCCTCCTGACAAGACAGGTGTTATATCAAATGCTATATATTATTACAAATGCCTAAGGCAACCCCAAATTGTGAGGATTACTCAAACCTTCGTTTTGAAGCTTTTAAGCAGTTCTTAAAAAGAAACCAAATGAGACTAAATAGTAGAATTTTCCCCAATTCTGAACCATCTTCAATTTTAAGATAAAAAGGGTTTCAGGGCTGACACTGAGGATCAGCTGAGAACACAACAAGATCTCTTATTTCTCTGTGTCAGGACACTGGACTTAGAAGGGATAACTATCGAAGGGAAGTGGTGTTAAAGAAATTGATGGAACTGAAAGAGAACAAGTCATTGGGGCCTGACTGTAGCATTTGAGAATCCTTGGAGTTGAAAGTTGCAGTGTTCATTCGGAAACACAGCAGTCAGTTTGCGCACATCAATCCACAAACAGCCATGAAGTGAATGAGCGATGTTATTTGGCGGACTATTGCCAAATACACCGGGAGAAACTTCCTTCTCTTTTCAAATAGTGGCACAGGATCTTTAAAATGCACAACTTTCAACTCCAAGTAAATGCTGTGAAGTGTTTTGACGTTACAGGTGATGTGTCAAATGTGAGAGTGATTAATGTCTCAAAGTGTTTCCTAATGTGATGGGGTGGTGGAGCTGGGAGGAACCTGCAGGAAGTGTAGTGTGTGTGTGTGTGTGTGCTGTTTTGCAGAATCTGAGACTATTGAGCAAAGGCAAAGTAAACAGAACAACAAAAACAAATTATACTTGTATAGCGCCCTTCACTCTCCCAGGACGCTGGCCAATCAGGAGTTTGGGACCCCAGCTGGGATCAGGAGGGGTGGAGGGCAGGGGTTTGGGGGTGGGAGGGTGTCCAAAGGCATGGTTGAAGAGGAAGGTCTTTAGATGGGACTTGAAGGAGGCAATAGAGGGGGTGAGGTGGATGGATTGTGGGATAGAAAGGTTTTTCAGATGGTTTGAGGAGAGTGTGAGACGAGGCATGGCAAAGGAGCCTCCAGAAGACAGAGTGTAAGATACTGCTCATGGGACAGAGAAGGGGAGGAGTGAGAGTGTGAGAAGTGGACTGTATACCTGATCTCAGAATTCAAGCTCCATATTTTAGACACATTCACTGAAAGAATGAAACAACGACTGATGGAAACAAACACCCAGCATCCAAAGCACTCAAACCCATAAACCGGGATCTGAAATCAGTTGTCAGCTAATGTTTGTCAGACAGAACCACATGCTGTCTCTCTACCACTGCCTCCTCAACCTCTCCACTCCAATCCCATTCCCTGCTCTCCCTGTGCGTACAGTGGTTCAGTGTGAGTGGACTGAGTGTGGAGCCTGACTTTGGTCTCTCACTCTCATATCAAAGTGTAAAGAGCCATGATTAATGGTATCGGAAAGTGATCCGCTTCAGCGCAGGGCGATGGGTTTAATAATTCACACCCACTATGCTTGTAAACTGTTGTTTACCTCTCTTATTGTTCATACCCGACATGGAGAGGTCGCCCTGAACAACACAGAAACCAGCCATGAAATCACTGCAAGCAGCTGCTCAGTGTCCTCATCCACACAGCCCAGGTAGGGCGGTCCTAGCAGGACAAGCAGTGGGAAAGCTTGCCACACAGCGCACTCAATGGCAAGCTACGTGGTTTCAGATGAGCTGGTTAGCAACACAACTTACCAACACACACTCGGGGGTCCCCAAGTCTTGGCTCTTGCCAACCTGTGCCTGATACCTTCTGGAATTAGCTAAGCAGGGAGCATCCCTCTAGGGAGAGAGTGCATATTCCATTCCAGCCACAGGAATTTCAATGTGCAGATGACACACATGGAACTCTCAATCCATCCTTTTCAGATGAGACATTAAACCAAAGTTCCATCTGTTCCTGTTCAGGTGGATGTTAAAGATCCCGCGGCACTATTGGTAAAGAGAAGGGAGTTTCTTTCTCCCGGTGACCTGACCAACAATACCCCAAATAAAATTGGTCGCTCACTTCATGATTGTTTGTGGGATATTGCTGTGTGCAAATTGGCTGCAGTTTTCACCTATAAACACATTATCATTAAATGTTACATTTGTTGTTGTGAAGCGCTTTGAACTTTGAAGCATCCTCCCGATGAAGGATGTGACTGTCAGGGTTAATGTCTCACACAGTGATGGCAGCGACCTATGTCTCCACACGGAGGAATTTCACTGTTGAGGAGGCTATTGTCTGTGTGTATGTCTCACGTAGGGCTTGTACAAATGGGTTAATTATTCATGGAACCACCCGGGAAGCGTTCCACCCCCCCATGTTCTCTCTGCCTGTAACTCAGTCTCTCTCACACATCAATGGCAGATGATTCTGAGGATCACTGGCAGCCTGAGATAGACAGAGAGAAAAGAGCATAAATCCTCCTCCCCAGCACACCGCCTCTCTCCCCCCACCCCCCCACCCCAGCACACTGCTACCTCCCACCACAGCACACAGCTTCCCTCCCCATCACACATCCTCTCCCCCACCCAGCACACAGCCTCTCCCCCAGAACACAGCCTGACACATTCCATTGCATTGGAGAACATCAAGGTGGCTGGAACGTCACAAGCTGTCCTGTAAAGGTCCGCCCACTGTGCCTAGATACCTGCCAGATAGCTGATGAGGAAACACTGAGACTTGGGGCAACAGCTGCTGGAAGGCGTTACCTGAAGTCCGAGTTTGTTCGTCCAACGACTGGAATCCATCTTGATTGGCCTGCGGAGAGGCAAGCAGCTGCTGCTTAAACTCCGCACCTCCAATTAGTGGAACCTTCATTCAGGGAAGGGACATGGGCTTGAACTGGCTCCACGATAACATGCCTGGCAACGGAAAGTCAAAATCAAGCCAGGCCTCTGAAACGATCTCTAGTCCGATTCCTGAGCCAGGCTGGTCTGCAGTATACCAGGGAACTGCTGATGAAAGCACTGCCTAGCCTGGCTCATGAGTAGGAGTTGGAAGGGCAGAACAATCACTAGGGGCGGGGAATCATCCCATTCAGCTCCTGTTAACCCTGTGAGCCAAAGGCCTAATGGGTAGGGTGGCCCTCGCTGGACAAGCAGCGGTAAAGCTTGCCAGACAGCAATTTCAATGGCAAGCTACGCGGTTTTAGCTGGTTAGACTCCAATTTACCCCCAACACACATTCTCAACCATTGCCTCTCGCCAGCCTGCACCTAATACTTTCAGGAATTAAGTAAGCAAGATGCATCCCTCTAGGGAGAGAGTGCATATTCCATTGCAACAATCTATCTCCGGATACATGGAATTCTTAGTTTGCTTTGCAGACTCTTGCATGGTGATGGGTTTCCACATGTGCCAGATACATGACTGACCAAAAAAAAACCAGCACACAGCCTGGCTTTATTGTAGAGAAAGTTACTGATAGGATTTGTGTTTCCCACTGATGGCGGTGAGTGGGATGTTGCCCTGTGCTGCCTCCTCTCTGTCTGTGTTTCCTCTCTCATTGACATCTCTTCTCATAGACAAGTCTAGTCTTACTCTCCCACTGCACGATTCTCTATGTTTGTTATTCTCTGGGTTTTTCATCTTCCATGCAGTTTCTTAGTGTTTCCATCGGGATGCAGACAGATTGAGCTGATCCAGGTTCTTTATCACAGCAGTAACTGGCCCAGGGGGAAACTATTCCACCACTTTATTACATCAACACACCCTCTAACCTCATTCACCTGGTATCTTATCTCCTTGTAAGTTCCAGCTGTGAGCTGTGGTTTATCTGAGCGAAAGTAGCACAAGGAGGCTGATCCCAGTGTTGGAGACAGAGGAAAGCAGCAATGTTGATTTCAGTGTTAGAGACAGAGGAGAGCAGCAAGGCTGATCACAGGGAATGAGCTATGGGGAATGACTGGAGCTGTCAGTCTGTGATTAAGACAACTCAGAGGGTACCTGAGAGAGGTTTCATATTTTCGAAGGTAGTCGGGCAAGATGGCACAGGGTGTGAAGAGCAGGCTGCTGAGATACCGGATATATCTGCACAGTAGGCAGTTGGTAGCTCGAGAGATTGCCAGTGAGGGTGACTGAAATCAGCACTCTGGGATTCATTTCAGAAACAACTGGACAGTGTAATCTGATGCTGGGTGGGTGAGGATTATGGAAGGAGGACCTGAATTCAATGAGCAGAGAGAATTCCGCTCTGGTGCAGTGAACCGGACGTTTAACTATTCCAGTAAATCTAACCAATTTGCTCCCATGTGTTTACAATTAATTCCCACAATCTGGAGCAATGAACACACTGAAGGTGACAGTCCGACCTTCAGGCTTTATACAGAGTAGTTACATTACAGGGGGAATTTTGATGGCACCACAGCCCAGAGCGCCACAGCCCAGGGCATCACGGCTCAGGGTAATACCTCCACCCACAGCTGAGCTCTGAGCTGCACCCAGTGTGTGAGTGAGGCTCTTAGTGTGTGAATGAAGATGTCAGTATGTGAGCGAGGCGCTCAATGTGTGAGTGAAGCTCTCAATGTGTGGGCAAAGCTCTCAATGTGTGAGCAAGGCTCTCAGTGTGTGAACGACGCTCAGTGTGTGTGTGAGGCTCTCAGTGTGTGAGCAAGGCTTTCCGTGTGCGAGCGATATTAATGGATTATAATGTCTCTGTCGTGTTTTGCAGGTGTAAGGACGGTTACCAGGGAGTCCGCTGTGACCAGTACTTACCGAAAACCGACTCGATCTTGTCTGATCCAAGTATGTTGAATCTTTTCTTCTTTCGGTGTGAACTCTCGAGCAACTGCTGTAGTGGTGTTGATGCCAGTTGGTCTGGGAAGGAACATGAGCGGATCAGGGTTCTGGCCTGTGTGTGGCTGCTGTCTCACTCTCTGCGGACGCACTGGCGAGCAGTGTCCTGTTTGAGAGAATCTTGATGGTTTTACTGGCCGGAAAGTGGGGAGCAGGAAAGCTGAACCTGGTATTATTCCCCAGCTTTGACCAGTCAAGCAATTGAAAAGGGCGATGTTTGTCCTGGAGGTCTCCAGCCTGAGAGGCTGTCCCCCCTGTCCCTCATCCTCCGTCCCATCCCCCCACCCCGAGTCCAGGCTGTCTGTGTCCCAGCTCGGCCCAGCCCTCAGACCTGTCCCTGCAGAGGATGCCATCAGGTCAGCTCAAAGATCGAAGTCCGTCCAGGGAGATTTTGGCAATAGAACAAATATCAAAGATATGTGATCGAGTGATCTGGTAACCTGGTGATCCAGTAAGCCAGTGATCTAGTGATATGGTGATCAAGCGATCACACTATCTGATGATCGGATGATCTTGTGTTCAGGTGATCTGGTAGCGTGGCGATCTCGTGATCCAGTGATCTGGTGATCCCATGGTCTAGTGATCCTGTGATCTGGCGATTCAATGATCGTGTGATCTAGTTATCCCGTGATCTGGCGATCTAGTGATTGTGTGACATTAACAATCCTTGCATTTGATATAGCGCTTTTCACATCTTCTAGACATCTCAAAGTGCTTCACAGAATATGCTGTAAAGTGAATTGACCATATATTTGTGGGCAAAATACGGCAGCCAATTGCACACAGCAGTGTCCCACAAACAGTCGTGGATTGAAAATGAACAATTTATTACTGTTTTGGAGGGATTATTGTTAGGCGTGTGGAGTAAGTAAACTTGCCTAAGGTTTCGCCCTGCCTTGTGTGGTGCACATCCACAGATATGAAGAGACGTCAAGGGACCATGTTGTAAGGAGGCCTTGACATTACTTCCTGCCCAGTAATGTTCCAAGGCAAACTTGCATAACCATGACTTATAACCCAGTTAGTATCTGCCATTCATTATAGCACCGTTCACATAAAGTCCTTGGAATTTCAAAGTGTAGAGTTCATTTCGGAATGAGACATTAAGGTTACGAATAAAGCTCCACAAAATTCATTTTCCCGTACATTGTTAGAAATGTTAATATATTTTCAAAATTCAAAAACCACTCAAGTTGTGATGAGTGCAGAAATGCCTACAGGAGGCTTCCTGCACTATAGCCTTCATCGGCCATTTACACAAATCAGATGCTTCAAACCTGAGCACTGAACTGGGCCTCCAGTAACCAGGTGTAATGCTTGGAGCAACAATCAACTGGCTCCGAGCCACTTATCACGGTTTCCTATCAACTAGCCATTAGCAAATCCAGTTTATAAATTGCGATTTATCTCTTGGATTTTGAATCTTCCATCTACAACAACAACAATGTATACTTATATAGCACCTCTCGTTTGGGATGGCGTATCAGAGCGCTTGAGAGTGGCAGAGCAAGACACCGAGTCGGGGGAAGGTGACACGGTCGAAGAGAAAGGTCTTCAGGCGCGACCTGAAGATGGGGAAGGAGGAGAAGACGGAGGGATAGGGGGAGAATGTTCCAGAGCATAGTGATCATGTGATCTTGTGTTCCTTTGCCCAAAAACCTCGATCGACTGTGTCAATCTCTCCTCTCCCGGCACCTTAATCTGACAGTTTAGCTCCTCTGCCGGAACTCTGCCGGAGTTCCTTCTGCAAAACTCGAGCCTTAACAAAGACACACCATCTTCCTTCTTTAAACACATCCGCACTACATTTCCTCCGGTTACTGACCCAGGCCCTGCTATCTTCTTACTGGGGAAGACAGACACACCCTCAAAGCAGTTGTTTTTCCTCAGATTAGCCAACTCTCCTTCGCCTGACTTTAGACTCACAAAGTTTGTGGGAATTACATCCACTTTTTTTTATAGGAAATATAATATTTATTGGTATCAAATATTTATTTACACTTGTCTCGTGAAAACCAAACCCATAACAGAAAAAAAAACGCAACTCTTTCATAACCTGTTACAAACACAGAGGTCCGGTCCCTTTGTGATGGCCCCTATCTCCTCACACTGCCCACCAGACAGAACGGACACGTGGGGGTGGGTTGGGGCGGGGAGGCGCAGTCTCTCAGGCTGAAGGCCTCCAGGACAATCATCGTCCTTTTCAATTGCTCGACTGGTCAAAGCTGGGGAACACAACTTTATGACGTAAAAGGCAATTAAGAGCCAATGAAATAAAAACGGAAGTATAAAGGGGTCCTGGGAAAGGATCCAGAGTGTGGGTAGAGAATTGTTGGGAGGTGCATGTAATTCTACAGAAGGGTGGCAGAGCTGAGACTAGCTGAAAGTGTAACTGCTCTGTGTAGATAAAAGCAGCAGAACCCTGGGACAAGGAAGCCCTGGTCACTCCACTGGAGGGTAGTGTGAGGAGATAAGGGCTGTCACTAGAGGGCGTTGGCTCCCCATCCCTCAGATATTAGAGTTCAAGATCCTCATCTTTGCCTTTAAGGCACTCCATAGCCTTGCTCTATCCTACCTCTGTCACCTGCTAACTCCATAACAACCTGTCTGTTCCCTCCACCATTTCCACCACCACATCAGCGGTCGGGTCTTCAGCCTCTCTGACCCCACCCTATGGAACTCCATCTCACAATCCCCTTTCTCCTTCCTCATCAATCTCTCCCCATCCTGTGTGACTCCCATACGTCCTCCAAGGGAGCCTGTGTACCTGAGCCTTGACATTGAGTGTTGGTGGTGTATAAGGAAAGATGACCAGGGCAAACCCAAGTCTCCACCCTATACCATGCACCCTACACCAATCACAGAAATTTAGTCTGCAGGTGCAGCAAGCAATTAGGAAGGCAAACGGTATGTTAACGTTCATTATGAAAGGATTAGAATATAAGAATAGGGAAGTCTTGCTGCAACTGTATGGGACCCTGGTGAGACCACACCTGGAATACTGTGTGCAGTTTTGGTCTCCTTATTTAAGGAAGGATGTACTTGCCTTGGAGGGTTGCAGTATAGATTTACTAGGTTAGTACCAGAGTTACGAGGATAGGCTGACCAATTTGGGCCTATATTCTCTAAAATATAGAAGAATTAGAGGGGATCTTATAGAAACCTGGAAGATCATTAAAGGGCATGATAGAGTAGATAGTGGGAGATTGATTCCCCTGGTTGGAGAAACTAAAACCAAGGGTCACAACCTTAAAATCAGAGGCCAACCCTTTCGCACTGAGTTGAGGAAGAACTTCTTCACTCAAAGCGTGGTGAATGTATGGAACTCGCTACCCCAAAGGGCTGTTGACGCTCAGTCCTTGAACATATTCAAGACTGAGATAGATAGATTTCTTATTGCAAAAGGGATTAAGGGATATGGGGATAAGGCAGGGTTATGGTATTAGCTGGAGTTAGATTAGAAGATCAGCCATGATTGAATGGCAGGGCAGGCTCGAAGGGCCGAATGGCCTACTCCTGCTCCTACATGTTATATTATGTTATGATAAGGCGCTATATCAAATGCAAGGATTATTATTATTATATCAGCATGCAGGATGTGCCATTTATTGACTGTCTCTCTCTTTCTCTCTCTATATGTGACGCTCCTGGAGTAGCAGAGCATCTGGGCATCGAATTCATGGGTGTGGATCTCTCTATCTCTTTGTTATGATGTTCTGCATGTAATCGAGTCAGTGCATCGGGGTCAATCACTCTGTTTATTACCACATCCTCCCAGTCTCTGTCTCTGGAATGTTCCGCAGAGCAGAAACTCAGAGCAAACAACACGAACAGCATCTTGCATTTATATAGAGCCCTTGAGGCAGGGCAGAATCTCGGAGGGCTGGTCACTTTCAGCCACACAGGAGAGACACTTGGAGGAGAGACACACAGAGACGCCAGACACACACAGGAACACCCAGACGCATAGGGACACAGAGGGACACACATTGACACACAAAGACACATACAGAGATGGTTGTGCTGGGCTGCGCTGAGCGGTATCTGTTGTTCTCGCCCTACAGAGAGCCAGGAGCTGTACCAGCGACAGATCCTCTCCATAACCTGTATCACCATCGGGCTGATGGTTGTGGGCATGCTCTGTGTGGTCCTTTACTGCAAAACAAGGTAACGGTTAGGGTCACTGTGATCTGTCTCCAGGGTGGGGGGGTGGTCACTATGTGTGTGTGTGTATAGAGCAGCCTGTGTGTGTGTGTCCCTGATTCTATTTTTTTTTGTCAGCTGAGTGTCTGCCACACGTGGAAGCCCATCACCGTACTTAAGAGTAACCAAACCAAGCTGAGATTTCCCTGCATCCCACCTACACATGGAAATCCCAGAGATGGATTGTTGGAATGGAATGCACATTCTCTCCCTGGAGGGATGCATCCTGCTTACCAAATTCCAGAAAATATTAGGCGCAGCTTGGCAAGAGCCAAGGCTTGGGGGCATCAGTGTGCGTTGTGGTAACTGCTGGAGTCTAACCAGCTGAACCCACACAGCTTGCAATTGATATCGCTATCTGGCAAGCTTTCCTGCTACTTGTCCAGCTAGGATCACCCTACCCGTTAGGGCTTTGGATTGCAGCGTTAACAGGAGCTGAGGAGGATAACTCCCTGCCCCCAGTGACTGGTCTACCCTTCCAGGTCCTGCTGATGAGCCAGGCTGGGCTGTGCTGCCATCAGAGTGCCCTGGAATACTGCGGACCCGCCTGGCTCAGGAACCAGACTAGAGACCGCCACGGAGGGCCAGCTTGAATCCGACATTCCATTGCCAATCATGTCACCTTGGAGCCAGTTCAGCTCCAGGGAGACCCCACTTACCTCTCCCCCCCAAGTAGGTAGTCACTAGTTGATCGTTCAACATCCGACAAGCACTAGGTGGTGAATGGTAGGTACAAGGTCTCACTGATTGTGTTCTCTCTTGTTACTAGGAAACAGCGACAGAAGCTGCGAGATGAGGCCAGGGAGCTGCGGTACAGCAAGAGCTATAGCCTGCAGCCCTCCCCACTCAGCGGGCCAGGTCTCATCCTCCCGCCCCAGCTTCAGCCACACAGGGTAGGTCAGCTTACACACACCCTTACCCCCACTCAGCCCATCCTCATCCTCACACCCTCCCTCATACCCACCCTCAGGCCCACCCCAACCCTAACCCCTCCTTCCCCCCACCCCTCAGCCTCACCCCCACCCCTCACCCTCAACCCCCACCCTGTCCTGGCCAACAATCGCCCAAATAAAATTGGTCGTTTTCTTCATGACTGGTTGCAAGGGACGTCCCTGTGTGCAAATTGGCTGCCGGATTCATATACAAAACACACAGTAAACTTTACAGTAAATCTGCGGACATCATGTTGACATCAAATGCAAGGATGATATTCTTGTTATTATCAATTATTATTATATCATTGTTAGAACCAATTATTGATAGGGTTGTAGGTTGACTGTGTGTCAACCCCAATCAATCACAGCCTCTATAGGCTGTCAGTGTGAATCCTGGCGGAGGCTGACTGCTCTTCCCTGATTTTTGCAGTGTACGAAGGCTGCACGGATCACCGGGAATGGAAGACGGAAAATTCTGGAATCACGGTTTTCAGGTCCGGCACCTCAAACTCCAGACACGCCCGCTGCTGACACCCAATGTGTCACACCCCAGAGGTGAGCACCAGTTAAGGGGACAGTGGGCACAACTTCATTTCACTCGGGAAACAACACCAGTGTGTAACTGAACTCCGGGTACAATTTTAGGTGGACGAACATCAGGGATGTGAAGCTGAGACGAGAGCCATAGAAGGGGAGGAATTAATCGAGGATGAATCAGTTGAGGATAAATGGACATCTCTAAAGATACATGCAGGGACTGTAGGGCTATATTATTCAGTATAGATCCAAGGGTAACAGAAGCAAAATAAACACAACACACCAAAATGGATCAATAGGAAAATAAAAGGGAGATAAAGAGGAAAAGGAAGATTTATAAAGCTTGGCGGAAGAAAGGAGAGGGAGACTGGGCTGAATCCAAGACTGTTCAGATAGAGGTTAAAAAGAGAGATTAGGGGAGCCAAGAAATGACTGGAAAGGGACATAGCAACAAATGCAATAAATAATAATACTCAGTTGGTCACTCAATCCATGATTGTTTGTGGGACACTGCTGTTCGCAATTCGCTGCCACGTTTCATCCACAATGTATAATCAAAATATACAGTCAATCCACTTTACAGTATATTCTATGAAGCACTTTGAGACGTCTCAACGATGTGATAAGGTGCAATATAAAATGCGAGGATTATTAGTACATCTAAACTTCCAAAAGGTGTTTGACAAAGAACCACATGAAAAACTCCTCCAAACCACAAACTGTGAGCAAGGCCAATCAAGGTATCAAGGGCAAGGCATGAACGTGGATACAGGATTGGCTGAAGGGCAGAAAGTAGAGAGTGTTAGAGGAGGCAGGACACAACGTGGTATTAAGGTTGCCTCAGGGATCTGTCCTGGGACTCTCCTGTTCCTCGTTTATATTAATGACCTGGATTCACAGACCCAGTGTACGATAGTTACATTTGTAGATGACACCAAGTTGGGGGGGATCCATGAAATCAGAGGAGGCAGCAAAGGTACCAGATCCTAGCAACAGTAAATCCAGAACATTGCTTTAGGATGCATCATGACAGTGAAACAAGAGGACACAGGTTTACAGTTGTAAAGGGCAATTTCAGGACAGACACCAGGAAATGTTTCTTTATGCAGAAGATAGTCAATGATTGGAACAGGGTTACCAGGATGGGTGGTAGAGACCAGGACACTGGACTCATTTAAAACTGAGCTCGATTCTCTCATGCGGGGAGATGGCAGGGTGGACGTTCTGGGGGATGAGATTGAAAGACACAGTAGTGTCCCGTACACAGTCGTGGATTGAGTGACCAAATTATTATTATTATCTTCATCCAGACCAATCATATGATAGTGTGATCTGGAGTCTTATCACAGACACCTGGCCACTGATCTGTCACCTCTGGGTCTGGGTTCAGACAGAGGTCCTATTGAACGTCTGTCCATATTTACGCGCTCTCACTGGTCTCTCTCCCTAGGCGTCCTTCCTCTTCCTCCCTGCCCAGCCCGGCCCTCAGAGCCACAGCCCGGCCCTCTCCGCCACTGGCGCGCCCGACAATAACCCGCAGCTCAGGGCCTGTGTCTCTGCCCACAACTGGCCTGTATCAGGAGCTCGCTCCCATCAATAAGGGAGACACTGAGAGGTAAGTGAGAAAAACACACATTACAGTGCACAGAAAGCCAGCCAACCATTGGGTCCGTCTTTTCAGGGCAATACGTTCCATCCCATTTACCTTCCCTACATCTGCACTCCCTTCCCCACAGACTCTCCCCCATCTCCAAAACCCTTCCCTCACACCAGCACAATGGGGAGAGGGCAGGAATGGGATTAGAGTAGAGAGATCCAGTGGGGGAGCGAGCACCAGCACAGACAGGATGTGTGTCTGGGGGCAAGAGCAGGATGAAAGTAGTGAGCTCTAATGGGGGGGAGCATTCATGCATAGGCAGGTGACAGCACTCCAGACAGAGAGGCAGGCGAGGTCAGATTGGGGCAGACTTGACCCACTGAGCACACAGAGAGGGGGGAAAGCAGCATTCACAGCTCAGAACCAAAAAGACAGATGTGAAAGCTTAATGCATTTGAGTGAGCAGGCTGTAGCGTGCGGTGAGCAGTGAAAACTTGTGGAGAGATCTCTCCTGGGAACCTGGCGACTGGGAACTGCAGTGAATGCTAAAGCCTCTCTGAGTGACTGCCGGATTACAGCCACCATTAATCAAGCGTGAATCCCTGGGAGTCCCTCCTTAACCATTAACCTAAAATCTTACAGCACATTCACTCCATTTCATTCAGACTAACCCATTTGTAGAGTGCGGGCTCACTCTCAGAATGTAGACTGTGGTTCTGAGATGAAAGCCTCTTGCATTGGGGGAAACCCCCCACCCCTCTCCTGCTAGTTTACTCCAGTCTCTTCCCAAAAAGGAGTGAAATCCTGGCATCCAGACTGTCCGTCCTCCTGCCAAAATCCATCCTTCTCCTCCCAGCCAGTCACTGGGAACAAAAACGTCTCTCCTTTTACTAACAAATATGAAACAAGAATAAGTCCTGCAGCATAATGGTTACTGCGCTCGTCTCACAAGCGAGAGGACCCGGGTTCGATTCCCGGGGAGGGCGAAACCTTAGGCATGTTTCCTTACCCCACGTGCGTCTGTTTACCTAGCAGTAAGTAGGAATCCGGTTGTTAGTCGGTTGGCGGATCGCTTTCCAGGGGTAATAATCCCCTCCCCAAAAAATTTGGTCACTCAATCCACGGCTGTTTGTGGGACACTGCTGTTTGCAATTGGCTGCCGTGTTTTGCCCACAAAACATACAGTCAATTTACTTTATAGTAGCAATGTGCCTGAGCCGGACATCAGTCTATTCATTTCAATGTCTTATTTTGTTCCAGGTTTCCCTCTGTGTCACGGATACCTCCAAGCGATTCGCTGACCAGGATCGTGCCTCTGTCAGCCGAGACCCGCGGGCAATCCTCCCTGTGGACAGCTTGTGCCCCCGGCAGAGCCGAGGCTGGGGAGGTGGGGAGCGGTGTGCAGGGTCAGAGGTGCAGCAAGCCGGGGGTTGTGCCGACCAACCAGGCCCCCCACCAGCGTGGTGAGAGGATGCCAGCACTGGCCTGCAGCGGCCTGCGGCCAGAGGACTACCAGCCAGTCCCCCAGGGCCAGGAGCGTGCTGTGAAACCTACCACCTTCCTGGCAGCAGCCGGGCTCACCACAACCGAAGAGTTGGCATATGTGGCGAGGAGCGAGCACCGAACCAGGGACTCGCACCCAGCAAAGTGACTCTCCAGCAGCTGTACTGTCATTGCATTGTGACCCTGGGCAAACAAGAGAAGCCAGGAGACAGAGGAATTATTTATATGCATTTACTTAACGCATTTCCTTAGAGAAACCAAATAGTCCGTTCTCTCCCATCTCGTGGTTTTATGGAATCTCTTTTTTGTATTATTTCCATCTTTCTTCTTTTACATTTTTTTTCTGGTGAAAATCTTAGTGCCTATTACTGCAAGGCTTGTGGTTGAGAATGTGCGGTGTGTCTCTCTCGCGTGGTTTGGGGGGAGGTCCCGTTGAGACCCCATCACCCCCACCGCTTGAGTCACCGCTCCACCTTCTCCCCTGGCACCAACTCCCATCTGATCGCTCAGCACGGCATCTGTGGCACAAGCATGTGGGGCGGGGCCAATATGTGATAGACACACCTTTGCACACCTACACACACACACCTACACACCGACACACACTTACACACATGCCTACACACACCCATACAATCCTACACAAACCTACACACACACACCTACACAATCCTGAACACCCTTACACACACAATTACACACATTTATACACACCTACACACACCTGCCCAATCCTAAACACACTTCCACACGCACCTACACGTACTTAAACAGTACACACCTACAAACACCTACACACACACCTAAACACACCAACCTACTCCAGCCAACACCACACACAATCACGAACCTGACTATTATTTTCCCTGAGCAGAGTATTGGGAAGAACCACACATTGTGTACATGAGCCACGGTGATGCTCAAGGGGAGATATGGAATGTTCCAATAAGTGGCACTGTATAATCAAGTCAAACAATAAAGGTTTCATTATTGATACAATACCTCAACCACTGTCAGGAGCTGAGCTAGGAGCTGTGATCGCACCACACGCTCAGATACGGAGAGACGTGTAACATGCCAGCACTGGGCACACTGAACCACGTGTGAGTATTCACACCAGGACTGGAATTGAGTCAGGAGTTACAGAGCGCTGCTCACACCTCACTGTGTCCTTGGGTCAGTTTTGAGCACCCAATCCGAGGAAGTTTATACCAGCCTCGGAGTGCGTTCAGTGACGGTCACTAGATCGATGCCTGTGCTGAGAGCTCAGCAATGAGAGGCTGGAGATGGTGTTAACTGGGTGATGCGACTGAGGTGTGTAAAATAGTGAGAGCAATTGACAGGTTAGAGAGTGGACAAGTCTTCCCTGTGGGAGAAGGAGCATCACAGGGACAGACCTTGCACTCAGAGCCAGGACAGTGAGAACTTGAGGGCAGAGAGTGTGCCCTCACACACAGGCTTGTGAGGGTGTGGAAAGCTTGGCCACAGAGAGCTGTAGACACACAATCAATACGGATGTTTAAAACAGAGATGGATAGAGGTTTAGGAAGTTAGGGGATTAAGTTGTGCGGGGAGAAAACCAAGGAAGTGAGTTTAAAGATCTGGTATGATGTAGGAAACTGTGATATGCAGCTGTTGTCCCTGTGTTAATATTGTGTATTTATTCTTGTTGAGATGCTGGGTGTCTGCAGTAATAATGGCTGGTACTGTCAGTAACAAACACTGACAGCTGGTGATGGGGAACTGCATGTGATGATAATAATAATAATCCTTGCATTTGATATAGAGCCTTATCACGTCTTCGAGACATCTCAAAGCGCTTCACAGAATATACTGTAAAATGAATTGACTGTATATTTTGTGGGCGAAACGCGGCAGCCAATTGCGCACAGCAGCGTCCCACAAACAGTCGTGGATTGAAGTGACCAAATTATTATTATTAAAAAGGACATCAGCTGTACAGTCTGGGAGGGTGGGAAGAGGCTTGGTTGGGGTCAGACAGCCACCCTTTTGCCCTCCCTCTCTATTGATGATTATATTTCAGATTTTGCAAGCAGAAAGGAAGCAGCAAGCGGTGGGGGTGCTGGGGGTAGGCGGCAGTCTATTTCCACTAGCAGAGAGTCAGTGACTGGGGACAGACATATAAGATAATCACAAGAAGAGTGAAAGGAGAACTCGGAGAAGTGTTTTCACACAGCGAGATGATGTGATGTGGAATGGGGAATGCCTGGCCAAGTAAGGTGGCTGTGGCAGAGTCCTTTGTGGGTTTCAATAATCTATATATATAATAATAATCCTTGCGGTTGATATGGCGCCTTATCACGTCTTTGAGACGTCTCATAGACTATACTGTAAAGCGAATTCACTGTATATTTTGTGGACGAAAGATGGGAAGTAGACAGAGATATGAAAGATGGAGGCTTGCAGGGGTGTGGGATAGGGTATGGCAGTGGGATTGACTGGATAGCTTGCTCTGAGAGCTGGTGCAAACTCGATGGGCCGAATGGCCTCCTTCTGTGCCATAAATTTCTATGGTTCTATTTTGTGATAAGCTCAGTCACTCAAGAACAGAGCAACTCCCCTCAGAACATCTGTCTTAGCGCAGGAAACAGGCAATTTTCACTGGGAGGGCGAGAGTGGAGAGCGGGAGGGGACAAGAGAGAGGGACAGAGAGAGGGAGGTGTGGGGGAGGGGGAGGAAAAATCCTCATCTTGGCCTTTCAGAATATGTGAATCACAGACAAACCTTAAGTCAGTATGTCTTTGAACCATTTGTGTTTAAGATCATCGGAAATGCCTTGCAACTGAATCCCATCGATTAGAGAAAGTCACAGGCCAAATAGTCATCGGCCGGAAAAGCCTTTCTAAACAAAACTTCAAGTTAAACTTCATGTCCCAAAATAAGCTGCTCACTCTGATAGGCCAAGTATAAAGCCCAGTGACTCTGGCCTGGATTGTGCACGTGTAGGAAGACTGTAGCAGTGGGGAGGGCTGTCCTGTGTCAGGGTGTCAGACAGCAGGCAGGGAGAGCAGCAAGGTTTAACTCTTCCTTCGCTAATCAGACAAACACTGCCGCCATCGCCCCCACTCAGCTTGATGTGAACCAACCTCAACACAACAGGAATAGTCGGTGTCAAGACAGAGACTTCTCCAGTAAGAGGAGCCACGGGCTGGCACTCTCTCTCTGTCTCTGTGTGCATGGTGTCTGCTCATTTCACCTCAAACAGTTGTACTGGACTTTATCAGACAGAGGGACATGTCCTCTGACGTACCCTCCCCTCGTGATGTGATAATTAAACTAAAACATACAAAAGCATCGTTTTTGAGCTAGTTTTGTTCAGCAATTCTCAACCTCTCTAACACTGGAGCTGAGTGGGTTAATGGGTGACCTGACCGAGGGCTTCACGATGCGATGCGACGGGGTAAATAGTAACAGATTACGTCAGTGGGCAGCCAGTCAGGAACCAGAGGCACAAATTTCAGACAATTACACTGAAATTGAAGGGGAGGTTAGAAAAGAAATAGTAATCTCATATTTATACACCCTTCTCGTCAGAGGACGTCTAAAAGCTTCTGCAGAATTCACTGTAAAGGATTCACTGGATTTTATCTTGGGGATTGTTGGCTAGGACACCGGGAGAGAGAATCTCCCAACTCTTTTCGAAATGCAGCATGAGATCTTTCACCTGAGCGATGTCCAACTGTACGGGAAAAACAGGGCCTCAGGTTAACGTTTTTTGAAGGACAGCCCCTGTGACAAGTTTGCATTCTCCCTGAACCTACAACATTCTGTCTCAGAACTGTACCCGCACGTGACTGAGCCCGGCTTTGCTTCAGATTGACACTGTGTGAGGATGGAGTGATGGAACAGAGCCTGGGCTGGATAGCAGCAGACGTGCCCAGGGATCTGTCCTGAATCTGTCAGCCTGGCTCTGTCAGGCTGATTGTGTGGGGGCTATTTAGCAAAGTGTTTCCTGTTTGTTGTCTGTCTGTCTGCTGAATATCTGTGTGTCTGCCTGTCTGGCTGCCTGTCTGCCTGCCTGGTTGACTGTCTGACAAATGAGTAGATAGGCGGACAGACAAGTCATCCTGGCCAACAATCTCCCAGCAATTGATCGTCTGTGTAACATTGCCATGCGCAAATTATCTGTCCTGTATGCCTATACACAGTCACTACACATTGCAGTAAATTCTGTAAAGTGCTTTGAGACGTCCTCCCACTGGACCATTAGTGTGCAGTAAACTCCTGATGTCTCCATCCTGACTTAGCTCATCACTACCACTTACCATGCTATCATTATCCAAACCACTTCCCATGAAAATAATAATAATAATATAATAATAATTCTTGCATTTGATATAGCGCTTTTCACGTCGGGAGGACGTCCCAAAGCGCTTCACAGAACACACTGTAAAATGAATTGACTATATTTGTGGGCGAACGCGGCAGCCAATTACGCACAGCAATGTCCCACAAATAGTCATATGGATTGAAAATGACCAATTTTATTATTGTTTTTGGTTTTTGGAGGGATTATTATTAGGCTCTGTGTGGAGTGAGGAAACTTGCCCAAGGTTTCGCCCTGCCTGGAATTGAACTCAGGTCTCTCACTTGCAAAGCGAGTGCTTTAACTACTGAGCTACAGGACTCCTAAAATATTAATAAGGAATATTAATCAGGGCACTTTACTTGTCACTCTGCTTAACATGTAACTCATTGCCTTACAGAAAAGCGAATTGTACCTGGAACAGAGAAAGTTGAAGGGAAACCTGATCGAGGTGTGTAAACGATGAGAGGTTTGATAGTTGATGGGGAGAAATGGTTGTCACTGGTCTGTGAGTCAGTGACGAAAGGGAATCAGTTTAATAATAATAATCCTTGTCTTTGATATAGCCCCTTATCACTTTGTTGAGACATCTCAAAGCGCTTCACAGAATATATTGTAAAGTGAATTGACTGTATATTTTGTGGACAAGACGCGGCAGCCAATTGCGCACAACAGTGTCCCACATCAGTCGTGGATTGAATGACAGTTTAAGACAGTTAGTGAAAGGGAGATTAGGAGGAATGTTTACAGTGAGACTGATTATCATGTAGAATGTCCTTCTAGGCACGGTGGTCGTGGTAGTTTAGCTTTCAGGAGGGAACGAGACAGAACAGACATCATTTATACGCTTTGGGAGGCAGATAGGTCAGTGGGACTGAATGGGTTGTTCTCTCACAGACACAATGGCTAAATGGCCTTCCTCTGTCTGCAAATCTTTATGGTTCTCTGACTCATCGCCAAATGGAAATTGCCTCTCCCTATTTAACTTTAGGCACTTGTTATTGTGAGCACCTCTCAAGCCCTCTCTGCTCCTGTGAAGAAATCTTGTCCTGTACCAGCTCAGAGCTCAGTTCTTATCATTGGTACATTTCATCACTCAATGACAAACAGTGAGCCCACTGTACAGCACTCTATCTCTGATTAATAGACTGCTTTAACCATCAGCTGTTTGTTTGATCAGTTAACTCAATGAGTCCCTGAATGAAGATCATTCCCGTCTCTCAGCAGCTCCTGA